TGGCCAATAGAGACTCCAAGAAAACTTATATGGCTAACTCACATCAAGTCTGAAATGAGAGACTACAGAATAAATTGCTATGTTATATAATAGTAAAAAGCTGTAATATATTTTTCTGTGCTAAGATTTTATTTCAAAAGCTTTCTAGCATGATTGTGGCAAGTTTTTAACCATTTTTGGACATGGGGTAATTTCTTGGGAGTTAAAGACAATCACATTTCTTTCTATGTATCTGTCTTTATGTATATCCACTTAGATTAGTCACGACTTAGTTGCTGTTGTTGATCAACTGGGCAGACTAATATCTGAGTATGAGTGACATCGTCAAGGACTGGGTTCAATAAGATATGCTTCTTTCAAAGATGATAGCAGGTTTTAGCCTTATAGTTTTATGGGCTATCGGCATGATCTAAAATTATGAGAGCATAATAATTTAGTCTAAGGGAACATCCAACTCAATACTTTGTGTGCGAAGTTGTAGGGAGCCACCTGGAGGCACAGGTGGTCCTACAGTTTGGAGGTATACAAGTCCATACCTGGCTTAGCCACGTGGGGCTGAACACCCTTGCCTGCATATGCTCAGACCAGCAAATGGCATCAATCAATCAGCATTCAAGCCTCTCCACCGTTTAAAAGCAGCTGCCTCTGGGCTCTACTTCCTCTCTCTAAGCTTTCTCTTGTCCCTGCACTCTCTCTTCCCTTCCCCCAATTTTCCTCAACCAAGGGCTCCAAATAAAGATGTGACAGAGAAGGAATTCTCGTTTTTAGTGGCGTTCATTCCTGCTGGTCAGGAAGCGCGTCGCAACTGGTGCTGAAACCCGGGAAGGAGCTGAAATCAGACACTGGACACAGAGAGCCATGAATTTCAGAACTCTGGACACGTGGAGCGATGAATGACGTCAGTTAAATCCTCCAGAAAGGGGAGGAAAAAGAATGGAAAAAGTATAGGCCTAAAAAAAAAAATAAAAAAATCAAAGTTAAGGTATCTAAAAAAAGGTACAAAAAGCAGCGGGGAAGAAAAAACCCCTCAAGTTCAGTACAGGTGAAGCTGAAAAAAAGCGAGGTTTATGGTTGGGAGATCCGCGGCTTCCTCCGTCCCAACTCGCTGTTAGAGACTCAGGGCAAGAGTCTCGTAGGGAGGCGGGCTTGATCATGTCTGAAGACTGCCTTCCCTGTTCTTAAAGAGCCACAGAGTTTTGGAGGTGATTTTCGCCTAATTTTGATAAGAGAGCTCAGTCTCTGGCTCTCACGTACAAAAAACTTTAATTTTGACTGAAAAAGACAGGCTGCTTGATGGTGCGGAGAGTGCTGGTGGCCGCCGGCTCGCCTATGAGTGGTGATGCCTGATTAGGGACACGGAAGTGGGCCAGGCACAATGGCGCACACCTGTAGTCCCAGCTACTCAGGAGGGAGACACAGAACTGCACCGGAGAGTGCTAACTCGTTCGGGAGGCGTGGCCATGCTAACCAGATGCTGGTGGGGAGTTTGCTGGAGTCCGCAGAGGCGTACAAAAATCCAGGTCGTTGTGGCGACTTGGGCGGGCTAAAGTCCGACTGACATCAGAGGCTATGTGTCCCGGCCTTCTGGCGGGGCTATGGTTTTCGGAGGACTTTTTCTGCACCTGAGCAAAACTTGCCCTGACTGAGGCGGAAGCTGCAGGGTGAGCAGTGGCGCCGTAAAAGGCAGAGAGGGGCTGAGCTCTGAGCAAGGGCTCTGCAAAAAACCGCGTTTCCATAGCAACATAGGCGGGCACATTAAGGGTACACAGTTCGCAGGTACAGGATAAACCGGCGCCCGCGCACGGCCTGGGGCGGGGCCATGCCTTTGTTTGGGCCATGCGGAGCGCGCCACAATGGGCCGTGCCTCAGAGGCGGAGCTGTCGCAGCCGCCGCCGCCGTCCGCTGCTGCTGCTGCCGCTCACAGCCACGGTCGCCAAAAATTCAGTCAGATAAAAACATTTGTTGCCAAAAAATTCAGTCAGATAAAAACATTTATCCCCCAAAATTCACATCGTCCCGTCTTCAACAGGAAGCAGCTAGATTCGATTGTCGACGCCCATTTTCCCTCAAAGAACTGGTCGTAATTATCATAATAAAAGCGCGTCAACCTGGTTACCGTATCCTAGGTAACAAAGGCGGACCTATTGCCTCAGGCAACGGATGGAATAAAACAATGCTACCTAGAGGTTTTTTCCATTTAAAAAGGGCCTGGAGAGTTGGCTCAGAGGTTAAGAGCACTGCCTGCTCTTCCTGAGGTTGCAAGTTCAATTCCCAGTGATCACAACTGTTTGGTTTTAGACAAAAGAGGGGGACTACCAGTGACAGCTTCCCCCAGAGAAAGGATTTCTCTTGCATTCTCTACATTTAATTTTTAATTCAAAGTATTGCTGGAAAAACAGCAGCAGACAGGCATGCTCTGCTTGAAAGCAATTCCATCTAATTCTAAGGCCTGCTTTAATGGCACAGGCAAACAAGATTTGCTCTTTGGAGCAGAGACATACAGGTCTCTAAGTTCAAAACCAGCCTACTTCCAGTACTGATTGTGCTGAATTTTTACACTGAGAGTTTTTAGTACTCTTAAATGTTAATTTGGGAGGAGAGTTTTGTTTATGTTTTTCTAGGAATGCTGACATACATCTGGGTGCCAACAAGACTGACCAGAGAAATGAAGGATGCTGCAAGGGAAGATTCATGTGGAGGCAGCAGAGATGACCCTCTGGGCAATGTCAAGAACAGCTGTTTCACACCATCGACTTGAGCAGCACCCTGTGCAATCTCTTATCTCTTAACAATTTTCTGACTGACTCTATTTTGCCTTTTCCTTCCTTAGGAATGGGTGGGAGCAGAGATATTCTTGGCATGCTGTGTCTAGGTGGAAGTGCTGTATGTCTTTGATTGGTGTGCTACCTGCTAGCCCAATGTGAGAAGGGATAAGGTCTTTGTGGCACAGGCCTTGGCAGCCTTGGAATGTGTATCCTCACCCCAAGTTTGGCTCTCAGCCTCAAAAGAGCTCATAGGTAATTAGCCATGCATAGCCTTAGCACCCTCTAGGGACCAGATAGTCCCACAAGCACAGAGGAAGGTATGCATTGGCGGAGGGTGTGTCTTGTTTTTCTTTTCTTTAATCGGTCCACACATCATGAGGTGGGGACCAGATTGGAAAATAGTTTTGCCTTATTGCTCTTATTAACAATAGAAGAGGGAGATGTAGGGAAGCCACCTGGAGGCACAGGTGGTCCTGCAGTTTGGAGGTATACAAGTCCATACCTGGCTTAGCCACGTGGGGCTGAGCACCCTTGCCTGCACATGCTCAGACCAGCAAATGGCATCAACCAATCAGCATTCAAGCCTCTCCACCATTTAAAAGCAGCTGCCTCTGGGCTCTACTTCCTCTCTCTAAGCTTTCTCTTGTCCCTGCACTCTCTCTTCCCTTCCCCCAATTTTCCTCAACCAAGGGCTCCAAATAAAGACGTGACAGAGAAGGAATTCTTGTTTTTAGTGGAGTTCATACGACTTAGTTGCTGTTGTTGATCAACTGGGCAGACTAATATCTGAGTATGAGTGACATCGTCAAGGACTGGGTTCAATAAGATATGCTTCTTTCAAAGATGATAGCAGGTTTTAGCCTTATAGTTTTATGGGCTATCGGCATGATCTAAAATTATGAGAGCATAATAATTTAGTCTAAGGGAACATCCAACTCAATACTTTGTGTGCGAAGTGGTGGCAGTGTCAAAGTATGTATAACAGGAAAGTTTTTTTGTTCAGAAAAATTGCACACTTACAGATGTGCAAGAATTCAAACATTGCTAATAAAATAAAGTTACTGTGGGTAGGTCAGCCTCTGTGCTTATCTTACTGGACTGGGCTCATTATTCTTTTTTTTTTTGGTTTCTTCTTCTTTTTTTATATTTATTTATTTATTATGTATACATAATTCTGTCTGCGTGTATGCCTGCAGGCCAGCAGAGGACACCAGACCTCATTACAGATGGTTGTGAGCCACCATGTGGTTGCTGGGAATTGAACTCAGGACCTTTGGAAGGGCAGGCAATGCTCTTAACCTCTGAGCCATTTCTCCAGCCCCCTGGGCTCATTATTCTTGAGAAATATGCTGAGTGCTCAAATAGAGAAATGTAATGGAGTAGACTGTGTCCTTCATAATTTTTATGGGCCATTGCCAACATACTGGCACCTCCATTCTACATATGCAGTGTTCTGATCATTTGCTTTGAAGCAACGCTTTTGAGGTAGTCCCATACCTTGTATGTATTTTTACAGAATAGCAAAATAGTGAGTCAGCAGCAGTTCACATTACCTAATGCTTAGAGATAAGTCTTCCTTTCATTAGCATCCTTGCAGGGCAGTTCTGCATCTTTGGAAAAGGACTTCTGAACAAAGCATGATGCATTGCCTTCAATAGGCAAATCCTTAGAGTTATAACTCTTTTGCTAATTTCCTAACATGTTATAGATAAGTGGAGTGAATACCTAGGGCATCAGTGTATTCTGATGACACAGCTTGTGTAAAAATGGGTTTTTTTGATCTCTCTTTTACCGTTTCAATCTCTCTTTCTCTGTAAGTATAGTTCTTTAAGATAGATGCCACATTTCTTAAAACTTCTGGTCTCTGATCCTTTCAGACTAAGCTATTACTGATGGGATGGAAACAGAAGTGGATTGGACAATTTCATTTGCTAAGTAATATTATTTGGACTATGGTTTTAGGATCTCTCTCTCTCTCTCTCTCTCTCTCTCTCTCTCTCTCTCTTTCTCACACACGCAAACAATGTATATAGCAACAACCAATGAATGAAATTGAAAAAGAACATGGAGGGTTTATGGGAAGACTTGGAGGGAGGAAATGGAAGGGGAAAGTGATGTAATTATAATCTAAAAATAAAATAAATAATTAAAATAAAATGAAATCTCTGTAGCTAATTTTCAAATATATCCTGCATACATTGATGATGTTCTTTGTTTTAGGTACCAGAGAAGTGAAAGAACGATTGGCTGTTATTGGAGCCTATGCTGTGGCCTGTACTGTGGCTCTCATCTCACCTCCTAGGCCTCATGACAGTGCCTACCAGGAGAGGTATTTCATGGCGATGTGAGGAATGGTTGAACAGAGTTTATCGGGGAAAGTCCTAAAGGAAAGCTTAGCAATGCTGGATAGTATTGATGTGTCAAGTGGACATGAGAACAATATGTATGGAGTTGAGGATGGGAAATATGTAATCAGAGAGTATGTGAATTTCTGGGGTCAGGGACGCTGTATATGTGCACAAAAGGTCTTTTGTGTACATAACAATGAAGCATTCTAGTCCATCTTACTTAGTAGAAATTATGTGGTGATGGGAGCCTTCTTATCTGTCCTGTTGGCAAGTGAACAACTGAGCAACATGATGCTATTGATGACTTGATATGAAACAATTTTGAAGAAGAAAAGCTGAAATTTGAATTTTAAGTAATTTCAATTAATTAAAAATTAGAAGCGCATACATGGATAAAGGCTACTATGTGGGAAGACAGAGATATAAGTTATTTAATTAGGATCTACAGAGATTGCTAGTGGTTAAGGGCACACACTACTCTTGGAGAGGACTCTAGTTCAGTTCCTGTCAGTTATGTAAGGAGGGTCACTTCTGCCTGTAACCCCAGCTCAGAGGCTTCTGTAGTCACATGCACATGACCCCCTCCACCATATAATTAAGAATAACAATAAATAAACAAATAAAAACCTCCACCACTTAGTAGGGAGGTAAAGGAGCAGAGGTTTGACATGTGGGTACTCATGGACAAAACTTAAAGTAAGATTTTACAAACTGTCTTCAAGAACCATTTAGAAACCATACAGTGAGCATTGGATTTGCCCAGATGCTGCTTCAAACACACACACACACACACACACACACACACACACACACACACTCATATACACATACATTCACACATATATACTTATAAACACACACATTCTTATACACAGACTTGAAATATGAGCTATTTGTTGAAAAACTTTGAGAAACATCAAAGTCATAGTCAAGATGTTTTTTTTAAAGCAGAAATATTTGTTCTCTCTCTCTCTCTCTCTCTGCTTTAGAAAATGCAATTCTATGACAGAGCACATCAAAACATCTAAATTCCAGGCCTTTTCCTCAAGTTGTTTAGTGGTAGAATAACACAATTTGCCAGCCTATGGCTTTCTTTCAGTTTAACTTTTTTTCTAGGAAATTATGAGATGTGAAAATGGAACTGAAAATGTTTTCCCATTTTGTATAATTAATTTGAGAGTCGTACTGTATTTATGTCAACTCGCCTAAGCAGATATATATTTTAGCCATAATGATAAATGCTGGTAGTGAATATTTGGTGAATGTAATTCTGAAATACATTAGAGTAGGTCAAATTTTATAAATCTGTGTGAGAAAGAGAGAATTAAACGAGAATGGAAGGATGGAGTTGAAGGAGGGCAAGATGAGGAAGGGCACTGCATGTGCTTGTTGGAATATTTAGTTTTGTTGAACATTTGAGCATATTTTCTTTATTCTTTAGATAAGCACAAGTGAAACGAAGCATCAGGAGGACCTCACTAGGCAGATAAGTAGCAGAATACAGTGACTCACTCTCATAGCTGCTCACGGAACACTTTGTAGTGTAACCAAGTGCACGGAGGTGGCAGAGTAGAAGTGTATGGGGAAATGACACGTTTTCAATGACAGATTCAGGCCATTTGTGAGGTGGAAAGAGAAAGGTTTCTGAGAAACATTCTGTTCACTCCAGGAGAGTTTTATTTTTTAGTTGATCCAGGGTAAAAAGTTGATTTCTACTTTCACATGTGTAGAACTCTTCTTCTTCTTTTTTAAAATTTACTTATTTATTTATAAGAATTTCACTTCCTCCCCTCCTCCCAATATCCTCCCGCTCCCCCCACTCCCTCTCTTCCTCCCTCTCCAGTCCCAAGAGCAGTCAGGGTTTCCTGCCCTGTGGGAAATCCAAGTTCTTACCCCCTCCCTCCAGGTCCAGGAAGGTGAACATTCAAACAGACCAGGATCCCAAAAGCCAGTACATGCAGATGAAACAAGACCCAGTGCCATTGTCAATGGCTTCTCAGTCAGCCCCCATGTCATCCACATTCAGAGAATCTGGTTTGATCACATGCTCGTTCAGTCCCAGTCCAGCTGGCCTTGGTGAGCTCTCATTCGATCAGTCCCTTGTATCAGTGGGTGAACGCACCCTTCTCGGTCCTGACTTCCTTTTTCATGTTCTCCCTCCTTCTGCTCCTCATTTGGACCTTGGGGGCTCAGTCCAGTGCTCCAATGTGGGTCTCCGTCTCTATCTCCATCCATCGTCGGATGAAGGTTCCCTCAGGTTCTGCCTTCCTTGCTCACGTTCTCCCTCCCTCTGCTTCTCATTTGGACCTAGGGAGTTAAGTCCAGTGTTCCAATATGTGTCTCTGTCTCTATCTCCATCCATCGCCAGATGAAGGTTCTATGGTGACATGCAAAATATTCAACAGTATGGTTATGGGCCAAGGCCAGTTCAGGCACCCTCTCCTCTGCTGCCCAGGGAACAATCTGGGAACCTCTCCTTGGGCCTGGGAACCCTTCCAGAATCAAGTCTCTTGCAAACCCTAAAATGGAAATGGCTCCCTTAGTTGAGATATATACTTCCCTGCTCCCATAACCATCCTTCCTCCCTGCCCCCTCCCATTCCCCCAAGCCATCCCCAATCCTCCCCCTCTCCCCTCTCCCTAACCATCTCCCCTTACTTCCACCCCCAACCCCCGTGCACCCAAGTTTGCCAGGCAACCTTGTCTACTTCTAATATCCAGGAGGATAATTATATGATTTTCTTCAGGTTCACCTTCTTATTTAGCTTCTCTAGGATCACGAATTATAGACTCAAAGACCTTTAACTATGGCTAGAATCCACTTATGAGTGAGTACATACCATATTCCTCTTTTTGGGTCTGGGTTACCTCACTCAGTAAAGCGTTTTCTATGTCCATCCATTTGCATGCAAAATTCAAGATGTCATTGTTTTTTACCGCTGAGTAAAACTCTAATGTGTATATATTCCACACCTTTTTAAACCATTCATCTATTGAGGGGCACCTAGGTTGTTTCCATGTTCTGGCTATTACAAATAGTGCAGCTATGAACATAGTTGAGCAAATGCTTTTGTAGTATGATAGGGTATCCCTTGGGTATATTCCCAAGAGTGGAATTGCTGGGTCCTGAGGAAGGTTGACTCCCAGTTTCCTGAGAAACCGATTTCCACAGTGTGATTGAAACCACACTGATTTCCACAGTGGCTGTACAAATTTGCATTCCCACCAACAATGGATGAGTGTTCCCCTTACTCCACATCCTCTCCAGCATAGGCTATCATTGGTGTTTTTGAGTTTGGCTATGCTGACAGGTGTATGATGGTATCTCAAAGTTGTTTTGATTTGCCTTTCCTTGATCGCTAAGGAGGTTGAGCATGAACTTAAGTGCCTTTCGGCCATTCGAAGTTCATCTGTTGTGAATTCTCTGTTCAGTTCAGTACCCCATTTATAAATTGGGTTAATTAGAGTTTTAGTGTCTAGTTTCTTGAGTTGTTTGTATATTTTGGAGATCAGACCTTTGTCTGATGAGGGGTTGGTGAAGATCTTCTCCCAGTCCGAAGGTAGCCTTTTTGTCTTACTGACAGTGTCCTTTGCTTTACAGAAGCTTCTCAGTTTCAGTAGGTCCCATTTATTCATTGATTCTCTTATTGTCTGTGCTACTGGGGTTCTACTTAGGAAGTGGTCTCCTGTGCCTATATCTTGTAGACTACTTCCCACTTTCTCTTCTATCAGGTTCAAAGTGGTCAGATTAATGTTGAGGTCTTTAATCCATTTGGACTTGATTTTTGTGCATGGTGATAGATATGGATCTACTTTCATTCTTCTACAGGTTGACATCCAGTTATGCCAGCACCATTTGTTAAAGATGCTTTCCTTCTTCCATTGTATACCTTTAGCTCCCTTGTCGAAAATTAGGTGTTCATAGGTTTGTGGGTTAATGTCCGGGATTTCTATTTGATTCCATAGGTTGACTTCTCTGTTCTTATGCCAATACCAAGCTGTTTTCAATACTGTAGCTCTGTAACAGAGTTTGAAGTCAGGGATGGTAATGCCTCCAGAAGTTCCTTTATTGTTTAAGATTGTTTTGGCTATCCTGGGTTTTTTGTTTTGCCATATAAACTTGATTATTGTTCTCACAACGTCTGTGAAGAAGTTTGATGGGATTTTGATGGGGATTGCATTGAATCTATAGATTGCTTTTGGTAGAATTGCCATTTTTACTATGTTGATTCTCCCAATCCAAGAGCAGGGGAGATCTTTCCATTTTCTGGTATCCTCCTCAATTTCTTTCTTCAAAGACTAAAAGTTCTTGTCAAATAGGTCTTTCACTTCCTTGGTTAGAGTTACCCCAAGATATTTTATGCTATTTGTGGCTATCGTGAAAGATGATGTTTCTCTGATTTCCCTCTCTGCTTCTTTATCCTTTGTGTATATGAGGGCAACCGATTTTTTGGAGTTGATCTTGTATCCTGCCACATTACTAAAGGTGTTTATCAGCTGTAGGAGTTCTTTGGTAGAGTTTTTGGGGTCGGTTATGTACACTATCATATCGTCTGCAAATAATGAAAGTTTAACTTTATCCTTTCCAATTCAAATCCCCTTGATCCCCTTATGTTGTCTTATTGCTATTGCTAGAACTTCAAGCACTATATTGAAGAGGTATGGAGAAGTGGACAGCCTTGTCGTGTTCCTGATTTTAGTGGAAAGACTTTGAGTTTCTCTCCATTCAATTTGATGTTAGCTGTCAGCTTGCTGTATATTGCTTTTATTATATTTAGATATGATCCTTGTATCCCCAATTTCTCCAACACCTTTATCGTAAATGGGTGTTGAATTTTGTCAAATGCTTTTTCAGCATCCAATGAAATGATCATATGGTTTTTTCTTTCAGTTTATTTATATGATGGATTACATTGATAGATTTGCGTATGTTGAACCATCCCTGCATCTCTGGGATGAAGCCCACTTGATCATAATGGATG